AAATATAGATGGAAATATTGTAGTTATTAATATAAATATAATTTGCATAAATAAGTATGTTATTAGTGCCCACGCCGGATAAATATTTCTTATATTGTTAGATATTTGTTCTCTCAGTATGCGTATTCTATGTCGAAAGTTTAAATATCCGTATGACCAAAATAATGGAATGTCCGGGAGATTTATGTGTCGAGACATATTGATACTTCTCCCGTGAGCTTATTCGAGGAATTCTGAGTCGCATATAACAGCACAACGAGGTAGAAAGAAAGAGAGAGTAAATCGGGTAGAATCTATTTTTTATATTAAGCAACTAACTGCGGACGGTCACGATCGTCATGACCCACTTTTGTAAGAGCTGTAAGATGTAGGGCGAAAATGTTTGAGGTGATCCACCGTTATTTCGGCACGATCTTATATCCGGTAATGTCAGACGGTGTTCCCTCCCGAAAGCAAATTTCTTCTCGGGAAGATCGCAGAAAAGACGCGCGGCGCAAACGGAAAAACCGTCTACACCTTCGAGACGATTGCGAGCGAACTTGAAAACCGTTCGAGTGTAAAGTGTGAGTCGCAAAGCGGTCTGTAATGTGATTTTCGTAACTTCATCCATAGTAATTCGACTAAACTCAATTCTCGACACCTTCGGCCGGCTCAAATATTAACGTAGCTTTATTTTCGACCTGCGAGCTTCTTCGCGCTTTCCGCCGGAGTCGCCGCGATTTTGCACGACCGACCGGGGGATTCTACTTCGCCGGAAAGAGCGTAATTAACGGAGGTAATCGTATCGCTTAATGAGCTCCCGCGCAGGAAGTCTATTCGTTGCAAAGTAGAAATTGCGTATCGTCGATCGCTGATAATAATTCCGTCTTTCGGCGCGTCGCTGGAACGAGCCGCTGGAAAGATACCAAAAGCCGCTCCTGCGAGAATCGAGTGAATTTCCAGGCCGGCTGTATATAGCGAATCGGGGAAAAAAGCTTCGCGCCGATCGATAATCCGCCGGCACCGCGCAAAACTTAGCTCGCCTACGTGGAATTGACGATGCGGGATTTTCCTTTTCGCGTTTCACACGGCGCGGGATCGTTACTCTTTTTCCCCGCGAAGCGCTATCAGTCTTTTTTTCACTCGTGCGACCTGCCGGAGTAGAACTTCCGCGCGAAATTCCACGTGGAATAATACGGAGCTGCTGTCCCAGAAGACCACAACTTCGGCTTCAAGTCGAGTTCTTTGTGTTCGCGACCGCCTTTCTCGCGTCAGGAAGGATCTCTCGCGTCAGAACGAACGCGACGGTTAATTATTCAACATTGGATATCGCGGTAATTAAAACCCAAACTGAAAAGTCCGCGATTGTGAAGTTCACTTTGCACTTTCAACCGGACAATAACGCTCTGTCGTTCGCTCGCGTTCGGGGAATGCTCGATTTGATCGCGCGCTTTCAATCGCCCGCAATTCGTGCATCACCGCGGCGCGCGCGCGCGCTTTGACATTTTAGTTAAGTTTAATTAAACATTGACTTCTCCGGATTGCCGGTGGAATGCACCATTATAATTAAGGTTGCTGTTACCAGGACATCCTGTGGCAGTCTAAAGCACCTCAACAGGAGCGGAAGTATGACCGAATTAAGCTTTAGTTAATTATACCGAAGTCGAGGTCGTTTATTAATAATTGGAGCGCTCGCGGTCTCTCACGACGCGTATAATCGCGGATTTACGATGGAATCTTCGTCCCGTGGAACGGTGTATCTTCCGCTCATGCGGAATACACGCGCGTGTGCAATTAGTGGCAATTAGAAATCGCGAGTCAACTTTGTCTGGGGACTCGGAGATTCGGGAAATTTCTCTGTTCTCGCGCACCCCGACCGTGCGAGTATTCTTACGCGGCTCGCGATGTATAACGAGTACCATAATCGAAGTCGCGATCTAGGCCAGGGGTCCTTTACCTGGGACTCACGAACCCCCGAGGAAGCCGAGTCAACAACGATAATAAATCAATTAAGGCTGCTACATGAACAAGAAATTACACCTTTACTCAAAAAATATCATCTTGTTCTTAGCGAACATTCTTTTACACATATGGCCTCGAGAAAATTCTTCTAAAATCAAAAGGAAAGTATTCCAATAGTGAAAAGAACTCTAGTATTGCAAAATATTATTTCTTGTAATCCCATATTCTAAGCGAAAATTCTTCTTCCTCTGTTTAAGTGAATTATATTAGTCGGAAATCTACTAGAGATATTATTCTAATATCAGTCGGATATCGAGTAGAGATTATATTAGTCGGAAATCTACTAGAAATATCATTCTAATATTTTTTAATCAACAGGAATGTTTACTCGAAGTAGAATACTGTCTTACCAGAAGAAATTTCTATCAAAAATAAGACTTTTACTATAGATAAGAGACGAAAGTCCTCTAATTTGAAGAATATTGTACTTTTGGTATTTTTCTGTTGGCTTAGAACAATCCTCTTGAGGCCATGTACGTAAGAGGATATCTTCTGACAATAAGATCATATTTTTTTGAATATCGCTTTTCATTGATCATTAGCTGAAGTTCAACAGCGACACGCGAGACAAAGAGAGAGAGGGGGAGGAAGGGAGAGAGAGAGAGAGAGACTATTTAAAATAAAAATAATTTCCGGGCGAAAAGACTTTTTGTTTCACATGGCCGAAATTGCTCTCGGCTCGTCGATCACCGTGGAGCAAAGCGGCACGGATAAAACCCTAATTCCCGAAATGTTATTTTCGCGCTTTTGTCCGACTAGATCGACGATCTCACGCGCTACACGTCCTCGAGATTAACCGCGTTTCTAACGTACGATATCGCGCGCGTTATTGTGGAGCCTTTATGGGCCTTTAATCTTTCGTGTCGCCCGGGCCGGGTTAGATCGATCGACCGCTATTTGCGTTTTTAATTAACGACATTCCATCGTCGAGCTCCGAGATATAATTTACGCCGCTTATATACCACTTATACCGTTTTTCACCTCGCTCGTGCCGCGGCATTAATCGTCGTTATTTTTACGCGGCGCGAAGAGCGCTCGTAAGAATGATGTAAATGATCCCGAGAAATAACGAGGAAGAGAGAGAAAAAAAAGAGAGATATGATTTACAATCAGGATATCGAGTAAAAAAAAGAATCTACAGCAGGACGTCTCGTAATTTGCTGCCACAGTCGACGAGAAGGTATCGACTTCTCGTCGCGGATTACATCGATTCACAAGGATAAGACTCTTTTTTCCACGATAGCCGTTTGATCTTTAATGCTTTGCGGTCAAAGTTTGCGTAACTGTGTACTCCTCGCGAACACGAGTCCGCGCTGCACGGTCGATTAAAAGTAGTACGTAAGTTCGAAGGTAAACCACGGCGTGCATGGCAAACTTTGATCGCGAATCGTTTCAAAACCGAGTCGTTCTCGGAAAAGCAGCACTATTTGTTGCAAATCGCAGCGTATTGCGCGATGCAGTAACGTCAGATTTTCCGCTCGCATCATGGATTACCAAACGCTTACGTGTCGTTACGATCGAACGCACGACGCAAGCTAATTTCACCCTGGACTATCAACATCTTTTCTTCAACGCTGGTTATTAATATTCGCCTTTTTGACGGGCATTCCTCACTTGTTTGTCAGAACTTCTATGTCGAACAACAGGAAATTAACAAGCAAGAGGAATGGTAAATAAAACTATATTTAAGAAAATGTAAAATATGTTGAAAATCCGTGTAAACGGACAATTCTAATGAAGTGAGGGAGGGAAGGGAATAATTTCGAAAAGGCGAGTGGTTTAGGGTCAATATCTCGAGATCAAAAGCGAGAATGTCCTTCGTCAAATACACACAAACACACGAGTGAGTGTGTATACAAACGACGCAACGTATAACCATTCAAAACTTTCTGAAATTACGCCAGTAACTTTCACGCAAAATAAATCGACGAGCGTGCCTCGGATTTCTCTCGATTCCATCCCACACCGATTTTTTGTCACTCGTTCGTTCATTCGCTCGCTCGTTCGTTCACGCCGCTTTTCCCGTAGGCGGGATACGCTACACACCCGGAATGGTGAGCATTAGTTTTGCCTCCATCGGCATTAATCATAGACGGCGGTTTCGCCCGCGGCGTATCCCGGTGGCTGCGGAATTTTAAGGTTTTTTGCGCGACGAAGGAGAGCGCGGAGGGAGAGAAAGCCGGCAAGTCGCGGCGGCTGTGCGAATCGTGCGCGTTTTGAAATTCGATCCGCTTCGCGTAATTTCGTCACTTTGCGTCCGGCGACGTTTCTCTCGAATGGTGCGACACTCCGATCGCGTTTTTAAACTGTATATCTTGCGAGCAGGTCATTTTCGTCGTGCGATTGCGAGCTTTTAGACGCCGAGAAGTCCTGAGTCGAAATTTGGCTTCTACATAATAATTCTGTAGTATCAGGTGCCATTACGCAGCCAAGAGATCAACAGAGAATCTCGAGATATTCCGATTATTGTTCCGCTCTCATACCACAAATGTTTCACTCACTGTGGTTTTTCTCATGTCAAAGCTTCGAGAAGAACTGGTTCAACAATGATCCAACATTTGGCTATTTCTGTTCCCTACAGTCAATCGTTATTCTTAATTTCAGTGAGCAACGTATGAATCACGCCGCTTAATCATCCTGTCGTCCCAAGGAACAGTACTGCAGAAAGAATCCCCAACGCCTGTGAGACTTACGTCAGTATTCGTAATAGCGAAATTACTCGAAATCTTTGATTAAGAGCATATTGATTGCAAATTTGTATTCATAAACCGTTATTTAGTTATTATTTGGATAAATATTTCTGTATGAAATAATCGTTACAGTAAAATTAGGTTAGGTTAAGTTAACGAATATGAGTCAGAAATTCTGGAAATTGCGATTATTTATGTAACGATGACGGGGACTGTGAGTGCTAGCCTTGGAGAGTGGGCTCTAAATTTCGACTCAGAATATCTCTATGCTCGATGAGTTCGTCAAACGTTAAAATCGAAATATCTTACATATGTTTTGACACACCTCGAAATGTTTCCCTGATTATGTTTTGCATCCGGTGTCCTGCGTCCTTCTCGTATCCCGATTCAGCATTCAGCTCTCCTGGCGTGATTTCAGATATACACTGACACTCGCGCGACCACGATTTTCCCGCACGAAGAAACGCACGTCAACTAACGCCATGCCGAGACGAATAAGCATCTCAAGGACCGACGAAATATTTCGATCACCCGGCGAGAATTGTAAACAACGCGCCGCGCTATGCGCGTTATTTGTCGGCTCGAGACGTAATGACGCGTCGCAACGAGAGGAGATATCTTGACAATATCGCTAACCTCGAAAGGGACAAAGTCACCCAATCGCAAGCTGGCATCGCTCGCCAATCAATGACGGCGGCGTACACACGGTGGCCAAGAAGTCGCGACACACAGATTAACGCTCATCAAATAATATCTTTAATAATTCTTATAGTGAAACACTCGAATCTCTACGAGGTGGTAGAATGATGAAAGCGATTGCACACGCGCGGTATGTACGAAACGTACGGTCATTAATTAACGCCGCACCTCCGATCGTGCTTTCGCGTGGCGCCACTGAATGTCTGACCACGATGTCGACCATGAGCTAACTTCAGGACGGATTTACAGGACGCAGCGCCAGCAAGCGACGAGGCTTACAACTCTTTCTTTATCCTTTTTAAAGTGTCATAAATCCTCTATCGAAATTTCCGACGTCAATGCGAATTAATGATAGAGAGATTACGAAAGAAGAACTATTTGTTTGTTTACTCATTCATCTGTCAATACTTATTATATCATTTAATGCTTACTCATCGCGATATTCTATGTGCAGTTGAACCCGATGCATAATTGATACATTGCTCATTGAAATTAAAAATTAAGCGAGATTGGATGCATTATTGAGAAGATGTTGAATAGTTTTTAAATACTACTCCAAAGCTCACCGCGGTAAGCAGCCGCATTTCTATGGCATCGAAAAATAATAGCCTGTACAGTGTTATATCTCGAGACTCTTCATTGGTTCTTCAAATTTGACGGAATTCCGTGGACAGGTTTAATACAGAAGCGATGTTTCGACTCGGGAATAGACAGCGAGATTCATCGTTGAGAATTTCGAGACAATAATGGATAAAATTGCGATCGAACGATAATGACTATCGAGGCAATCGTACTTGTGCGATTGTCAATGGCTAATTACGCGGTCGACTCGAGGCGAATAGACACGCGTTACGCGTGAGAAAAGCTGCGAGCTACGGTGCGAGTTCCCAGCGCGATTCCCCGAGTCCCGTATTAGCCGGAATTAAACGTGGAAAGGCGTCCGCGGATCGGGACGATCGGCGGCTAACAATACGCGCGGCGCGTATTTCAGTTCGCGCCGGCACGGTGTTTGAAAGTACATCATCAGCGGCCAATTATCGCGCAGAATACGGACGGCAACAATAGCAAGAGGCTCGCGTTCAAGCGCTAATAATAAATCCGCGGTATTCCATTCACGAGCTCGCGCGCTCTTCTTCTTGTTTTTGTTCTCTCGGCTGCTAGCGAGGCAGCGCTACCATTTCTAAAAGTGTCGTATGTCGACGAGACGCGTTCGCCCTGGACGAAGCGCGCGTCGCGCGAATTACCTCGTGAGAGAGAAGCGGCGTTGAAAAAAAATCCGCATATAATTCCGACGACTATTCTTGAACGCGCGCGAACGAGCATCTTACGACACATGTGTCGCGTCTCATTTATTCGTGAATAAACATGAATCTCATTATCATGCGTGTTTTCGGTTATCCCAATCTGAACTCGACAGAAATTATACCGTTATCGCTCGTCGTCTCGGCCGAATCGTCGCTCGCGACTCCACCGCGCGCCGTGCGTGTCCCAATTATCGATTGGCGCCATCGATTTTATCGCGCGGCTATTCCAAGCACGCGCGGGATCACAGACACACCCTGACCTGCCCGACGTGGCGAGCACGTTTCCAGCTTCCGAACAATAACCGCGCCGATCAGGCAGACGGCACAGACTGTAACTTCACGTCGCCGTTCGTTACTGATTATTTACCGACTTTGCTCACGCGGGCGTCTCGCCGTGGCCTCGCGAGAAGCGATATTATAATTGACGATTCGCGACCTAACAGGTGACAAAATTTCGCAGCTGCCGATTGTACGTGTGTACGTACACGAAAGTCACCAAATTCCGGAAGTATGTCTCGAGCCTGACATCTGAGCAATGTTTACCCAATAGGAATTTGCCCGAGTCGAAATTTCAATCCCATACTCCAATTAACGACTACTTTGACACTTTGAAACCTGCGTCAATCTCTTTCGACTCTATCTAGCTTTGCCTTCGGAGCTTCCTTCTGAAAACTACCAGTGACATTTTATGCGTTTCCTGCCGTTTAGAGCCGCTAAATAGAGCTTCAGTTTCCATGCGTATCAAAAGACGTCTGTCCTCGCCGCGGCCATCTTGATTAGCGATGTCAGAAGAGCGGGAGAACACCAAAATTCTTATCGAATGAATACCTCGAAATAAAAGGTTATGTCCACAAAGTGGCACTTGTAATCGACTGAGCACATTCGTCAGGTATTACGAAAACTCTCCTTTTACTCCAACAATCAATAAATAGTCGTGAAATTAGGGTCGAGGAAAAGACCGAAAGGGCTGCATGTCGCATTAATTTTATGATTATATATTAACAGCAAAAGGAAAGTTTTCGAAGTATTTCATAAAAACGCTCAATCGAACTAAGGGTCGCTTTATGAACCTGTTCTTTTACTTCGGTGTATTTCACAAGAATTTCAGGCGCGCGTTCTTTTGCCTCTGGCGTCATCAATCGAGAATTCTGCGGCGAGGAAGTAGGAGTCCTAAACACACATTGATCCTTCAGGACGTACGAATGTTGAGAAGTGAAAAGTACGACTGAAATTTCGACTCGGGTACTTACAGATGAACAAGTCGGGCGCGAGAGCTTTTTCGGGAATCTTTGCACTCAGAATCGTCAAATGTTTGGCCGGAATATATTTCAAACGCGCTGACTTGGTCCGTGCATAAGCAGCGGATGTTACAGCGTTGTCCCTAGCTCTATTATTTTGTTTCCATTGATTTTTTTTCACACGCGTATTCGCTCGTTTGCTGATTCGCACAAGACTTATCCTCGCGAGAAAACAAATCCGTCGCGACCGGTTCGTTAATCCATGGCTCACGGTAAACACGTTCGAAAGCGATATAAATATTATGTCAACGTTTCGCGCGCCCACAGTCGCGGGTATTTACACGGAGAAATACGACGCGGCCGTTCAACCGCTCTAAAACGATGTTGGGCACGGCCACGTAAGAAACTTGGAGCCACTGCTGAGGCACGTCGCTACTCTCGATTATCATCGGTATTGATCCCTCTCTCCTCCCTACTCGCTCCTCTCTCTCTCTCTCTCTCTCTCTCTCTGTCTCTTCGTTTCTCCCTCTCCTACCCCACGAATGCCTCCACCATTCATTATTCACAATGGACAGCATCAAAACAGCGTTATATCGCAATATATTGCGCGGTCCGCTCCAACGGAGAGTGCAATGTTCTTACAGAGGAATACCCTCTGTAGTTTTCAACAGCCGGAATCCCTTGATTTTTTTACAAAGGATCCGACGGATAAATATTTATTATTGTCTAATATAAATTTTCGTGCACTACATACTGAATATAATACGCGCGCGATCTCTCTCTCTCTCTCCCTCTCTTTCTCTCAACTAACTCCGTTGCTTTCATTCACGGAATATCTGATCAACGCGAAGTCGATTTTGCCTCAACTGAAGCGCGCCGAGTTGCAAGAGACCGTCCGAATCAAAAGCGACTCGGGAGTGACGGAATTTTTACGAGCTTCCGAGTCACGACCGTGCGCCTCATCGGAATCCTTAATTTCTGCTTTAATTACCGAGACATTTAACATCGAATATCGAGGTATTTCCTGACGAAAGATTGGCCACGCCCTGCGGCATCGGCATCATTAATCGCGAAGGTCGCGATTTTTCGGGACAGCCTCTACGCATACACTCCCGTACTCGTCGAAAAATATGCCGATTGTGACTCGCGCCCTGACCGATCTCGGTCAGCGACGTTTTCTCTCCACCGTTAATAATGTCAATGTCGGCCGAGTAACGACAGTAAACATCGATCGTACGCGGGCCTTCGTGTAGGGTTATCGTTATCGGCGCGCTCCGCGGCTTCTATCCTCCGCTGTATATGCGCGAGCGAATCGAGTCGAGTCGAGGTCGTTCGCACCGCACGACGAAGAGCCCAAGTCGGCATAATGTGCCGGCGCAGCCGCGGCGCCGTGCCTTTCGCAGCCGCGTGACTGCGTCAGAGTCCTCTCCTCGCTCCTCCACATCCTCATTCTCCGCCTCCTCCTCCCATCGCGCGCGTACGGCCCTGATCTCGGACAAGCAACGCGTAACGAGGTACCAACTGCACCGTAAAACCGAGTTTAGTAAACTGGCCCCGGCACGTCGAGCCGGCCTGCTGATCGACTCGAGCATTGGTAAAGATAGATATCGATAGCGTCTCCCTTGCTGCACGCTGGAAGAACGCGACGAAGAACGCGACGAGGAACGCGACGAGGAACGCGACGAGGAACGCGATGAGAATCGCGACGAGCCGTACCGAGTCGAAATTTTAGCCCTGAAAAGTTTAGCCCTGCTCTGTCGATCTGAACCTTTCAACATCTGTATATTCTCAAGGATCAGTTTATGTTTAATATAAGAAGCCTGAACGTCAAAAAGTTACTTAAACCTGAAACACGGATAAATTTCACCGAGTGCATTTTCATTTGCTTATAACTTCCGGAAAAATGATCGAAATTCAATCCCTTTTTCCAATCGGCGTAGAGGGGGAATATGAATCTACTAATGTTTTCGCAATTTAATGAATTTGAAAAGGTTATAATGAAAAAACGAGATACATATTTTTCGCGTAATGTTTAAAACGTCGGTCTGGATAAATTTTACCTGTGTTTAGAGTTCTAGGGTTAAAACACACGGAAATTGAAGTTCTACTTGGCGCCTTTAAACAGCAGAGAACGCACAAAATACCATTTGTACACGGAAGGAAAAGATGTCAGCTTGGGCAACTGAACGGGGGTCGGGCGAAAAATTCACTGAAATGAGAAATAATATCCTCCGTTAGCCCAGATCTACAATGTGTTCTTTGCTTTCTGTTTCTTTCTCTTGATTTCTCTCTGACTCGAAGCTCAAGCCTTTAGCCAGAAAAAGATAGAGAACAAGGAACGGGACATAAAGAGAGCACATTGTAGAGCGGGCTTTACCGTGACCGAAAACATTCGTCTGAACGTTCAGCTGCATGAAAACTCGGTTGAGGTAACCGAGAGCAATTGACTGAGCAGAAATTCTCTCCTACGGGAATCTTTCTGTTCCCACAGCCGAGTTTTTCACCTGCTCCCCAAGTAACAGAAAATTCAGTTACACTAACGGAGCTGTTTTTTTCCCGTGTAGTTTCCAAAGATGATTTTCCCGTTTAAAAAGTTAACAGGTTAGATAAAATCAAAGAAGGTTGATGTAAACTTCAGAGTGTCGAGGTAGAGGCGTTTGATGGAATATTGATGTCGAAAGCGGGATCAAAATTTCGACACAGGACCCGACCTTTCGTCACGTAGTCTCGAGATTTTGATGAAATATTTTTGTGACACGTCTCCGTATTGTCACCGGCGCGACATTGTTAATGCCGCATTATCGGTGCTTCGTTATTAGTTGGTAATTGGAATACCGCTAACTTATTGGCACTAATTAGTTACTCGTGTGTGTCCGGTAGCACCGTGTCTATTTAAAGGTAGGACTATGACCTACTAATGAACGGCGAACGGCTAATCTGGGATTAATTATCGCGCGCGATAGGTATAACGCGGCCTTCGATCTCTCGCGATGCTAAAGATAATGCGCGAGATACTTAGATTCAATGTGCTGTGAGAGCGCGCCCGCGGCTCGTAACCCGTGCGAAGTTGATCTCGCGCGCCGAAATAATGCCGGAAACGTGTAAATTGTGTGTACGCGTGGATTTGAAAAAAGAAAAAAAGACTGTTAGCCGATTACCTTCGCATCATGTAATAGGTAGGGCGGGCCGATCGGTTAGACTGTTTGATTTCGAAAACCACTGTTGCAGTCGTAGGATGTGCATACCGGCACACGGAAGAGAGGTCCGAGGAAAAAGGGGGATACGTGTGCGGAATAAATTGGCGGATTTGAATATGTACGTGGCACACCGGCAGTGATATCATACACTTTTGAAAGTCTACCGTTTTTACATAGAGCCGGAGAAAAAAATTGCGTATTTTCGTAGCTCCAAAATTTGCCGTTAATCTTTTAATTCCGCGTATAAAACTAAAGCGTGCATGATACGATACTGAAATATAATTGACATTAATGCAAAATTTTATAAAATTATATTTCAGTGGCCGTATTAAATTTTAGACCTTTGTACAATTTAATTAAATTTTATACGTTCGAAATAAAACTATTATTGCACGGTTCTCTCTTTTCCTTTTCTCTTCCTCTATTTCCCTCCGACACGAGCTATTCGTTTTTTTTTTTGCAAAAGTAATGCAAATTCACGCGCAATTTCGAAAATCTGAGAGCGGTACTTCGATTTATTACCAATAACGCACATATATTTGCCAGTGTCGCGTTTCAAAACAGGACGTTCGAGTTTCCCTTTTTTTTTTTTAATAGTGACACTCCATATATAGTATCATATAATATTACCATGTGGTTGCTCATTGTAACAGCGCAGCAATAATATCTCCGCAACAGCAGCCCGATGTCGTCAGAACGTGTAAACATTTGCGCGTAACGGATATATAGCACGTTTCGAAGCATAATCGTCTCCGATTACTGACAATCGGTTTTTCAATTATATCCCGCGGCTGTAATTGAGTTACAAACGGTATACGCGAAACCGTCCATTATCCGCTTGTTTGCCGATTATCGGCGATCCTTAGGGTGCTTAGGCAGCTCTCGTCGTCGATCGATGGTCGCGCGCACTCATCAGGACCTATCTTTGGAATACTCGGAAGCCTAGGCTACTCGCAATATATTATCCGCGAGGTTCTCTACTTTTTAATAATGAAAAAAAAAGGAAAAGAAAAAGTCGTTGCTGCGAAATAAAATTTTACAAAGTCTTGGAAAAGGGGGAGAGACGTCTTTCTTCACATTTTCGTGATACTTGTTTTCGTTATCACTGAATAGTGATACTTTTGTGCCGAAGCACTGGTATGTTTTGTCAACGAGAGAGCAGACAGGTCTTACAGTTCCGTTTGCCGAAGCAAATGTCCATTTAAACGACGTCGCGTTGGAAAAGGCACGTCGATTCGATCGATCGTGCTGTGTCGCTTTCCGGAAAAACCCCGCGCGGTTTCGACACGAAGACGTCGTGCGAGTCGCCACGAAGCTCGCGTGTCGCGAAAATCACGTACGAGGCCAGGTGATCGCGAATGACATCGCGTAGCAGCCACATTTCAGTGCTTTAGAATTTGTGGCCACAATACACGTCGACGACGGGATTCGTCGCGATAAAGCAATTCGCGCGAGAGGGAAGAAAAGGACGAGGCGTAGAGTTGCTTCTTCTGAACGATTAAAAGCGACTTAATCGATGTTCAGAGCCAGCACCAAATCCCCGCGTCGTTGGACGTTACGGGCGCGGGAAGAAGACAACGAACGATTAAACTTCGTCAGCCGCTGACATCTGTTAGCGTTAATCGCGATGGAATAAGTTTTCGCGCGAGGAGTCGTCAGCCGAGCGGTCCCTGCGATGATCGTCGTCGAATTATATTCTATCGGTGGAAAAAATGTTTCGTGAGACGAAGTTCGAAAGAGATAGTTTCCTTGAAAGAGATAGTTGTTGGGAGCGCGTCACAAAGAGTCGCGAAACGTGACGTCAAATATCGCCGCTTCAGAGCGCGATAGATAATGCGACTTCGCGAAAAATAGAGAGATAAGATTTACCCGAGATGCTCTTGGACACGCAGTCTTATTCCCGTGAAAATGCGTAAAAGGAGAACAGTTACATCTTAAAAGAAATATCGATATCGTGTCCGGTTGTATCCAGAGATATCGCATTTGAAAAGGAAATGGAAATGTCGTTTTCTTTTTTTCTTTCACGTTTTTTTCCCACGAGCACGTTGCAACAATTATTGCGCCTGGCTGGACGTCATTCTCGGATCAATTTTGCATCGGCCGGCGACCATGGAACACGACAAGACCCGTCCATGAGGAGAAGCAGAACGTTATAACGATGAGATATTATTATGACTTCAATTTGCGCGTCGCGCGCCAGACAAAAACTGGCGAGCCTGTCGTCATTTTCCCGGAAGCAAAAATCCCAGCGCGAAAATAATCGCCGAGGCGACTAACGCCGCCGCAGTTTTATTGCGTGGCGTGGATTTCGCGGAAAAGCCACTCCGTTAATCTTGATTCGCGGCGCGGTGAGTCATCGCGGAGCGACGCGACGCGTTTCGAAAAATTGCGTAAAGTCGCGCTTCAGTTTTCTGCGCGCTGCGAAAGAAAACGAGACCGATTGTCTGTGGAGAGCCGGTCGCCGGTGAGATCGTGCGAACCGACTGACATTGATCGCGCGCACAATATATCGGGAGACAACGCGATGAAATACAAGAATAAGATATCCATATAAAAGGGACGAGAGGAATAAATATACATGGTGTCCCACTTGCGCGCGCATTAAATTTTGACGACGCTCTTTCACGAATGCGGAGTCGACCTTTTCATACGGGAATTTCGGGTAGAAGCAATAGCCCGGCCGATCGGGGGAGCTTTCCAACCCCCACGTAAAATATTTCCATTAATTAAACATCGGCTAAAAATCCTGACAGAAAATAAAGCCCACTTGAATTTAAATGAGGTATGATGCAATGTTATATTTTATTCAGCCAATATTAACTCTGGTCGTCCTGCTTCTATATTTATTCGCGTTAACCGATAATGTACCGCCCGAGAGTACATGCGCTTATTATTACCTTTACCCTAGTATTTTATGTTTCACTCCACCCATCTATCTTATTTTTACATTTCGCCGCGCCTCTCCCACCTCTCTCTCTCTCTTTCTCTCGTGTAGCACGAGTACCGTCAGTTTTTTCGCGTCGTGAGCATAGCTGCGATGTTTAAGCGGTAGACTGAAAATTCACGACGATTAGCGCGTCTCGGTAAGACGTCAATAGCGCGTGTTTTGCGATCTACCCTGCCAAGGACTCAGTTGCAACCCCGGCGTTGAATTCCCTTTCAATCGAGTCAAACAGCTGTCCTCCTCAAGATCGGAAGGCTGATACGGGCACATAGCGAGAATTGAGACGAAATGTGTTAATCGACGCTACGACCCGTTGGCGGACTCAAATATAATACGTTCCGTCAGTCGTCTATCTCGCTCAAGAGCACTAGTCTCGATTGCATGTCTCGTAGCTTGGCTCGAAATAATAACGAGTTGTGGACCGCTCCCCGAATGGATCTCGAGATCGTGAGCATAAACAAAATTTCAGAATACGTAAAAACTGCACGGGGGCGGCCACACTATACTTGAGCGCGTTGCACAAGATGTATTGTTGCGAATCGAACTGCATAATATTTCCGAGAAATGTCTGGAGTGTCTCTCAATATTAATAAAACAAGAGTAAAAAAAGAATATTACGCCAATCCTGTTCGCGCCCAGCGAATGAAAGAAAACTGGTGCCGTTTTTCTATAGATCTTCGTGTATTTTGTGAACCTTCAAGAAAATGACAGCTAAAGCGTCTCGCGTAAATTGCTACGCATGAAAGAGACAATTTTTCTCAGATTCGTTTCGGAACAATGCGACTCGGGCGCTCCTTTACGTACTTCTCTGTCTTTCTCTATCTCTCTCTCTAATTAATCGCGTGTGACAGCATGATGGCGTCGCGCGTTTCCTCAACCTACTGTGTGTTCGCACAGTAAACGACCGATTTTAAGAACGCAATGGCTATTACGGCGACTTGTGCGCGACAGAAGTCGCATGCATGAAAGAAGTCTTCGCCATTCTTCCGCCCGAGTATCTGTCTCTTCCACCCCCCTCGCTCCCTCTTTCTCTCGAAGAGGGCTCTTCGCAGGGCCCGGCCGCGAAAGGAAACGGGAAACGTGCAAGAAACTGCCTCGAACGAACGCACAAACACGCGCGTTCAGTTATATACGCAAAAAAACATACACAATCGTGTATATAGGCACTCGCGTACTAGCGCGGGGATACCGCGGTACGTTACGTCCTGACCTGTATTATTTTTCTGTCGACGCGCGTCCCCACCTCGCGCTCGCTCGTTTGCTCGCTCGCTCACTCACTTGCTCGCTCGCTCGCTCGCTCGCTCGCGCTTTACCCCTCCGCGCCCTCTGCCGTACCGCGCGCACGCACGAATTACGCAGAAACGGATAAACACGCGAGAGAGCACGTCAATGAAGAAGCGGAGGGAGGTTGCGCTTGACAGCGACGGCGGTGGCGGCGACGATGACGATGAGCCAGGCGACGTCGTCGTCGCCCATGTCGGCCGTTCGTCGTCTTTCGTTGTCACACATTGCGCCGAGAGCCGTGCGAATTTCTCGATCACCCGTGTATACACATCCGCACACGCTCCACAAATATCGGGGCAGGGATAGCGGAGGAGGAGGGCAAGACGGGAAAGAGGGGGGAGGAGGGTAGAGAACGGGTAGGGAACGACAGCGGGGAAAAAACCGACACAGCAAGAGAGAGAGAGGGAGAGGGAGAGAGACGGCGATTTGGGAGAATGAAAGATAGACAGGAGGAAAAGAGAGACGGAGAAAACAGAGAAAATGGAAGGGAGGCCGCCGGTCAAAATGGCAGGCGATGCCATGCAGGCGGAAAAAAACAAGATCTAACGCGAGGGAGCGAACGAACGTGCGTCGCGTGAACGCGTCGGGAGGGATCGGGGCGGGAGACGGGGGAGAGGACGAGCGGTCGAAACGCGAATTGCCGAATTGCGTAGTGAGAGAGACTTTGCGTACTTACTCACTCACGCTTTTCCCGGTTATCCGGCTCTCACTGCGGCTCCGTCGCTTCGTCCGGATCCGTGACAATGTCGACCTGTGTGGGTCCTGTCAGGCGACGAGAGGATGTTACAGCAGAAGAACGTGGAACGTCCACGGTGATGGCACACACACGCGCGGGGGTCACGCACTCTCTCCGCTCCGCTACGCGCGCGCGACTCGTCTCTCGTTGTGTGCCCGCGACGGAAAAACAACACCCGGCGTCCTTTTCCGTCCTGGTCGCCCCCTCTTCGTCTAGCGTACGGGGGCGGCGTACTCGCTCTCTCACTCTGTCTGTCTCTCGCTCGCTCGCTCGCTCGCTCTCGCGCTCTTCTTCGGGGAGCGGCAAAACGAACGCGAAAGAAAAAAAAAGGAAAGAAAGAAATCAAATCGACACCGCACCAACAACGCGCGTTACGGTTTAGTGCGCCGCGCGTAGTACGTACGGACGCGTATTGTTTTTTTGGAGCAACCGTCAGGTGTTGGTACGAGAGCGACGCGCGGCGCGGCACATACGAACGTGCTTCGTGTGTTTCACGCACGAGACTACTCTCTCACTCTCTCGACGCGTGAGTGGCGATGATGGTAACGATGATGATGATGACGATGATGATGATGATGATGATGATGATGATGACGACGACGACGACGACGCCGACGACGACGGCGACGACGACGACGACGAACGACGACCAAAATGGCGTTTGCCGGACCGCCCGCGCGCGATCAGGTGGAAAATGCCGGAATGCCGCTACTAGGAAAGATCGACTGACTGCCGAGGTCCGCGGCCCTAAGTGGTTTGATGTTAAGAACGGGTGGAACGAGCTAGAACGAGAGAGACACGAGCGCAAGACGGAGGGAGAGGGAGCGAGCGAGACGGAGAAGGAAGACGCCCGGAGAGGGAAGAGGAAGCGACTAACGGGAGCGACAGAGACGCCGGTACGACCGTGACTGAGTGGGGGGTCGACGTTACTACGCGGTGGGGTTAAGAGGGGAGCGAGATCCCCCACTATTTCGCCTCGTTCGCGCGCTCGGACGACTCCGACTGCCTTCGATTGCTCTCGACTAAGCAGGGCCGTCTAGCGTAGTTAGGCCTAACGCGGCTGGGAATTTCCCCCGTTATTAAAATTAACGGCCTAAATGCGGATCTCTCTCTCTCGCGTCGCTTCTCCGCGACTCTGCTATGCACGCTGCGCGATGTGAACAGCGCGCGGTGTAACGTGTTGCCTGTACGCCTATACGGGTGAGCCTATACGGCTATCCTTACGTCTCGGCGCTCCACGAGGAAATCGGTAATATAAAGAAATCCGACGAACGCAACCGCGTCCTTCTATACGCTCGCCTGAACGCGTCAACAACATGGATTCGTTCGCGTCGAAGCGATACACCTTCCGTTCGCTCGGCTCGCTCGCCCCAAGGCGGCCGTGGGTGGTTCGCGCGCCGCTTCTTCCCTCTCCGCGATTCTCTCCTCGCCTCTCCGCTCCTTCGGCCGGTGCGCTTTGCGCGCTCGTTCGCCCGTCTCGCGAGGAATTTCTAAAAATCAATATACGCGTGCGAGGAGGCGAGAGAGAGAGAAAGAAAGAACGAGAGAGAGAAAGAGAGAACGGAGAGGGGCTGGGAGGCGAGGAAAAAAAAAAAGAAAAATATTCGATATCTCCGTTCGCCCCTGCTTCTTCTCCCCTCTTTTTTTCCCCGATGCGACTACCAGCTTTTCTTTTGTTTTTCTTTTCTCCTCCTCCCGCGAAGCGAATCGCGCATAGTCGACGGGCGAGCGTCAGCCTCTCTTTCTCATATTCTCTCTTCCCTTTCTTTCTCGAGGTAACCCGACATCGTCACGAACGGACGGCAGAGAGGGCCGTGGGGAAAGAGGACGGGGAGACCGATCGGTTTCAAGGAAGAAGACTCGCCTCGGAGGAAGTCGGAGGAGATCGCGCGAGGAGGGCCCGGCGGAATCGCCGAGGAAGCGCGGGAGAGTTTATTTTCTCAGAAGCGCGCGCGCGCCACATGCGCTTGGTATAGTTTCTGCCGCCCGAATAAATTCATTCAGAGGCGCGGGTCGAGAACCCCCGTCCCTCTCCCTTTCCCGTCCTCCCACGTCACATGCACGACGCACACCGCCGACCGCCGGATGGCAATTAAACGGGTTAACGACATTTCGGCTTACATGTTTGGCTGAACAATGTAATCCACACCGCGGCCGTTTAATTGGGACGAGCGCGATGAAGTCGAGATCGCGCTTCTCACGAGGAAACCACGTGAAAATCTCCCGACGTCTTTTTCCCTCCGTATCGACATCGCGGGCCTACTCTGAGACGCGCCAGTCTCTCGTTATTGCTCCGTTGCTCGGAGAAGATCGCGACGCCCAAGGATTACTCGACCGAACCTGTCCTCCTGGAGGGTCGACGAACGCTTTAGCCCCAATGCGGTTCGACGATTAATTTTAAGTAGACCTTGACAGCGATCTAATTTCGAGCTCTCGCGAGTTCGGAATATCGAAGAGCGAGATTGGAAATTTCCGAGGTAACACGCCGGGTGAATTCGGACTCGCTCTGCTGTTTTAGTCACGAGAACGTTCCGTCACCGAAACGTTCCTACGTGATTCATCACGAGCGCTACGGCCGCGCGCGCTTCACCACGATCACCATGCACCGTAGACACGATCTGGAAATGGAATCGCGCGTCAGACAGAGTCTACCGATCGAAGCTGTCGGTGCAACCGGGCCGGGTAGAGATATCGCGACCGGATTCTGTCGATTGTTCGATTCGCGCGCACGCTTTCACCTTTCTACTTCGATGTTCTTTTTCGAGGAATGCGTCCAGAATCGCGACGCTACGTAGAACGATATTGACCGAGTCGCCGCTTACGCGATCTTGGAGAAGGTCAAGAATCGCGAGGCTTTGGAGATAGCCGACGGGTCATTCGACTCTTCGAGGGTCAACGAACAGATTTCGCTCTCGCCGTAATTCCACTATCGCGCCGAGACCGTTGACGATAAGAAATCATTGCAACACGAGGATCTGAATTAGATCAAATCTGCCGAGGGGAATAATCAACCGTCAAATTGTCAAGCCAATTGAGATGTCATTCCCGGCCGCGTCGATGAACTGTATTTTTAGCTGCTTTAATAAACCGCTCTGCGACGAATAAGAAGATCCTATTTCGCCGTGTTCTCTCTCTCTCTCTCTCTCTCTCTCTCTCTCTCTCTCTCT